TATGATTCTCTCTCATCATTGATCTTCTATCTCTCTCTCTCCCTCTCCTTTCTTCTCTCTAAAATCAAACAAGAATATTTTTAAAAAGAAACAGGCAAGTATCTAGATAGTAAGGAAAAGGAGACAAGAGCAGATGCAGGGAACACCAGGGAGGAGGATTAGGAAGAGGCAGGGATACGGTATAAAAGGAACAATTGGAAACTATAAAGGGGGAGGGATAGTGTGTTGTCTCTGAATCCACAGAATAAAGTGACAGAGTGGGTGGGATTTTAAGTATTAGATGAGTTTTGGAGCTTGAGTCACAACATAACTAGTTATAAAGGAGATGGTCTTAGAGAATAAAGATGCTTTCCCCCACAAACACTAAGAAAGAAAGAAAGAAAAACTATGAGAAAAGGATTAATGAGAGTAAGAACTAGAGAAGAGTTGAAGTATTACATTTCTGATAGACTAGGTGGAGAGATGCTATGCCAAGGAAGGGATAGGACAGCTGAGACTGGGGCATGGGACGAGAGACGAGGTCTAAAATAGCTCCCATGGGGAGAGAGCCTGGGAGTACAGAAAAGACAATTAAACAGACTGCCAAATAGCAGCAGAGAGCAGATTGAAGTTTGAAAGCATCCAGTTCTAATGAGCCAAATCTGCAACGCTGTTTGCCTCCAGCAGCGCTCTCTCTCCTGGGAGGAGAAGCAAAGGGAACGGGAGTTAGAGGTAGCCTGTTCTCAGGGATTTGCTGGGTGAGGTAAAGGTTACTAAAGAAGAGGCAGATCTTGTGTTCCTTGTTGGGAGTGAAAATCCACCTCGTGTGAAGCAAGGAGAGCAACAATGGGTGCCTCTGATCCAAGGAAGGCGGGACAGTAATTTCTGTGTGTCCCAAGCTGAAAGTTGAAACTTTCAAGGAAATTAGAAAGCTTCTAATTCTCTAATTTCTCATCTCCCATTCTTCCACTCCAACCACCCCTACTGAGACTACAGGAGCGGGAAGAAGCAGAGACTAAATGAGATAAGCAGATTCTAGTCAGAGGAATGCTGTGAAGATAGTGCGTGCCTGTATGTGTGTGTGTGTGTGTGTGTGTCTGTGTGTGTGTGTGTGTGTGTGTGTGTGTGTGTGTGTGTTGGGGGACATGGGGATGAGGTTGGTGTTACAATAAAAAGTGGAAATCTAAACTGCATTCATTTCCAACACATTAGGGCCACTCACTTTTAAATATACTCAATGAAAAAAAAAAGTGTTCCTATAGTATTTTTTTTTGTTATATACAGTTTAAGATTACTAAATTATTGCTTTCATATAAATATAGGCTTCGCTTTTTAATCAAATCTTCCCACTTCCTGTCGGTGTGCAATGCAATCATCTAGTGAAGAGGCGGCCCCTCCGCCCCTCTGACTTTCCCTCTTGCCACTCTACACATTTCTCATCTGCTCCAACCACCTCCACCTTCCTGTAGTTCCTGGAATCAATCAAGCCGACTCCCAGCTCAGAGTCCTTGTGCCCTCCTTCACCACGCCTGCCCAGCTCTCCCAGTCAGGTTTCCTCTGAGGTGTCCTCTCCTGGGAAGGACTTTCCTTGTCAATCTGAAGTAGCCTGGGATGTACTCTTTTCCCCATCACCTTGTTTTGTTTTGTCTTTTATTATTAAGACATTTTATCTATAACATCTTGCCTTTTGTTGTTTTGTGTTCTGCCTCCATTTAGAATAGAACCTCCATGAGGACATGGATTCTGCCTATCTCGGTCACCACTGTGCCGCCAGCATCTCAGATACTTCTGAGCACACAGAATACACCCAAGTGCTTGTCTAATGAGCGAACACATGATTTTTTTTTAAACTTTAGTATTTTCATGCTAAGTATGATGGAAAGATACATCGAGTGTTTATTCACAGGCTGTTACAAAAAAAAAAAAAAGGGGTAAGAAGGGTATTACTGCTGTCCCAGAATATCCCGAAAGATTTCATCTATCTTATTCTAAGCAAATAAATATTAGGGGAAAGTAAAATATTGAGAATGAAAGGATAGAGGAGGAAACATCCTTAAAAATGAACCCACATAAATTTTAGTAAGATAATAAATAATCAAATAAACATAAAAATGTTTATGCTATTTTTATAAAGGCTCAAAGAAGTCTGAAAATATAGACATATTTAGTAGAGTTTGAGTTTGAAACAGTGTAAGATTTAATTAGAGCAAATACACAAATGAAATGTCAGATAAATTTTCCATGATATAATTTCTATAAATTATGAGTAATATTTATGCTGTTTGTCTTGCTAAATTTGATCTAGAAAGCAGGCTTAATTAAGAGGTTAAGAGGAAGCAGATTTTAATCTCTTCTTCATAAAATATATATCTAATTAAGAAACTCAGGCTCCATTAACTTTTCATAATTTCTGTGAAAAGCATTATTTGTCAGTTCATTGGTTTGTTGTTGTTTTGTTTTAAAAGGGAGGTGGGAGGACCCAGCTGATATTGCTCTGTGGTTAAGCATCAGCCTGTGAACCATGAAATCACAGGTAGATTCCTGGTCAGGGCACATGCCCATGTTGCAACACAATTCCTAGTAGGTGGTACGTAGGAAGCAACCAATCAATGATTCTCATCATTGTTGTTCTTATCTCTCTCTCCCTCTCTCTTTCCCTCTGAAATCAATAAAAAAAATATTTTTAAAAAATAAATAAATAAAAGGGAGGTGAGGGGAAATGTTAAAATAAAACCTACAGTCCTAACAAATAACTGAGTATTACAAAACTTCTAAGGACTTTATGTAAGACATTATATACTAATCATGTCCCTTTGAAATATGAAGACATGTAAGCTATATAAGGAATACATAAGTAAACTTAAAAAACAACCTGCTTCAAAATCCCCTTAAGATGTCCATGTAGAAGTCAAAAATCAAAAGAATTAATTAATAAGGAAACCTCAGACAAATCCCATTTGGGAGACGTGCTACAAAATACCTGACCTGTACTTTTGAGTATGTCAAGGTCAAGAACACAAAGTAAGGTTGAAGAATGATTCCATCTCGGGAATAAGAAGACAAGCAATCCTTAAATTGATGTTGAAACAGAGCGGGGGGTAAGGGAGGGACGGACAGTTTGGATATAAATTACTAGGACAACTAATGATATTTGACCTTGCTCTAAAGAACTAAATGGTAGTAATGGTATCGTTAAATTTCTTTCATTTTAAAATTTCACTCTGATTTTGTAGGCAAATGTCCTTCTTAAGAAAGAAACACAAACTAGCAATAAACAGGAAAAAAGAATGGAACTAACGAAAGGCTTCTAAGGCTGTCAAGTGAAACAGAAACTTCTCACATGTCAGTGACTAGAATAATAAACAACAATTGGTAAGTTAGAAGCAGGGGTATCATAGATAGAAGCATAAACTATAAGAAATACAACAATAAAAATTGCAACATCTGCTGTTTAAGTTGTAACAATATATGACAACTTAGATAAATAAGATGCCTAAACACTGAAATTTAATTGTAAAAATTTTTTAAACTAAACGCCTTTGTAAATTGATATATTCTTTATCAATACACGGCATTTTAGAAATACACTATGGTATTTAAATATTAAGTTAAAAAACTAAATAAAGGGCATAAACCATAAAATATTCTACGGAAATCAAATTTCCGGTATAGATTGATGAGTTTGATGTTTACTCATGATTCTTAAAAACCTTAATGTTTAAACCTAAGTAATTGCTATAATAGGATGCTAGAAAATGACAAGCAGCTTCAAGGTGATTATTATATGATCCATGCTTTAAAGAGAAAAAAAAGTTTATAGAGATTACATATATTACCCAAATTTCAAAGAGGTGTTATGTGACAGGTGTAGAAAAATTACAATGCCTTCTTCACCTGCTCCTTGGACAAAGGTTTCTACAAAAGTGAGAGATATTTGATTATGTAGTTTCCCACCTGGCTTTGAAGCTTGAATGTTTCCATGTTACTGACAATGTTATTTTCTATAGTACTATAGTTTTTACGTAATAATTAGCACTTTAAGATTGTTAAAATAATATTGCTTAAAATATTGAGAGCTAAAATATGTCTTTCTTCTCATTACTTGTAGAAAGGGTACAACTCAACTGGAATACACACACATATATATGCATACATATATTTATACAATTATGTGGACAGTATATTATTCATCTCAGTCTCCTTTCAGGTTCCAAACCAACGAGGCAATGCTCAGGCCTGAACAAAGTACTCTAATTATTGTTTCATTCCTTTTGACAATTTTACTCTTCTTAGAGAATAGAAAATTGTAGTGTACCAAAGCTACATTGCGCCTTAACAAATAACACACAGTATGTAGTTTATCCCAAAGCAGAAAAAGAAGGAAAAAAATATGCTTTAATTTTGGGGGGGTCAAGGTTCATCTGGGGAAATCTACTGACCCATTTCAAAATTAAAGTGCTGCTTTAGCACATGTGGCCATGCACACATGCGCGTGCGTGCGCACGCGCGCACGCACACACACACACACACACACACACACACACACAGGAAGTTTCCATTGAGGTTGCACTTAGCAGCATATCAAAGCTCTACCAGTGACACCCTGAATACCAACTCCATGGCAAGAATGTGCATGCTGAGTTCAGGCTGCTCACTAATAATGCAGAATGTACTTTAACCTTAAGTCTTTGAAGAAAAATTATGATTATAGAAAATCCAAGACTGTAATAAAAACAGAACATCATAATCATTTCTAAGGAGTCTTCTCAGCTGAGTTCCAGTGTGTGGTTTTTTTTTTTCGCAGCAAGTATTGCTGAGTTAATATAACATCTGCAATCATAGCCATAGCATATCTTCATATTAAAGTATCCATTTAATATTACAAAGAAATAAGAGGCAAGTCATCATTTTCATCATTGTGAGCTGAGACATTTCACCCAGTTCGTGACAAGTATGGTGCACATAACATAACGTCATTATGAAATGAAGAAACGTGATGGCATATCTACGTTTTTACTCACCAGTTGTCTCCACAATGCCTTCTAGGATGACGACAATCTCGAACTGTTCAGTTTGCATGCTTCGCTGGGATAGGTCATAAAAGGGGCTTTTGGCATCGATCACGTGGCAAATCGTGAGGGGGGAAACAAGAAAGAGTTGATCTGCCCCTGTACTAAAACCTACATCCAGTTCAAGTTGATCAAGGGGGAGGAACTCACCCTCAGGTGTCTGCCGAGACTAGACAAGCACACAGAAAAAGAGAAGAAATCACCACTTGCACTGAAATTTCAAGGCAGCCTAACAGCAAACGACATCATTGGCAACATTCTGCTCTATTGATCATCAGCAACGAACCCCAAACAAGTCTTTATGCAGCTACGTTCTGGCGAATGGGCCAAAATCCCACATAGCTCATGCGGGACATCCATGCATTATGTATAATACGCGGCTTACTATAGTTACCATTCCCCAACACATGAGCTTTGGAGGAATGCCTGGTCCAACAATGGCTGTTAGGACAAACTGTGCAACCGAAAGTACATGTGCTGCTTCTTGACATAAATCGCTGCATGAGAACCCATTGCATGCAAGATATTTTCTCATAAAGCATATAAGCAGGCAATTCTGATAGAGTTTGTTAAAGCTGAAGGTAGTTGATCGTGATTGAAAGCGAGCTTTATTTCATTATTACAAAGCAAAACTTAAGAATTCATTTTCCAGGACTTTGGAAAGGCAACAAGTAAATATAAAATAGAAGAGTGAGCCGAAACTGGTTTGGCTCAGTGGATAGAGCAGCGGCCTGAAGACTGAGGGATCCCGGGTTCGATTCCGGTCAAGGGCATGTACATTGGTTGCGGGCACATGCCCAGTGGGAGGTGTGCAGGAGGCAACTGATTCATGTTTCTCTCTCATCGATGTTTCTGGCTCTCTATGCCTCTCCCTTCCTCTCTGTAAAAAATCAATAAAATATTTTTTTTTAAATAGAAGAGTGAAGATGTTACCATATTAAATTATGTTATGTACACGCACAATAACAGCTCACAGTAAAAATAAAAAGCAGATGCTATTGTTAGTGGCTTTCAAGCTCCTAATAATAAATTGCATAACTGTTTATCTGATGAATTTTAAAATTTGGCTAAAGAGAAATTTTTAAGATCAAAATGCCATTTCATGATCTATATTGGATAAACTTATTAAAACTTTCATGAGGCAGCGGCATTCAATATCAGCATAAGTCATTGTAAACCTAACTGAAACTTAAATATGCAACTATTTAAAATTAATAAAACACGAAAGTAAACCTATTTTTATTTTCTATTAATTTTTACTTTATTTGCTATGTCTGTTACTTATAAGAATCATATATAAACAAATACTAAAGTTTAATTTATATAACAATGCTTGCTGTTTGTGAAACGGGGCTTGGAAATATTTAGCAGGTTCTATGCACAGCTAATTCAATAAACAAAACAATCTCAGAATCTGTAACAGATTCGTCCAATGAAGTGGTATTTTGAAGACAAAATCCTTACTTTCAAAACTAATTCCAAGAAATACAGTGGCTTTTTATGTAGAATACATGAGTTTGAAAACACTGAGAAATGTGCTTTAGGAAGGTGTACTTCATTGCAAAACAGAACCAAGAGTTTCAAATTGGTGGACAATTGTAAGGCAGCAATTGCTACAAGGAGTTTCAATAGAATTTCAGAGGCTACTTTCTAACTAATGATACTCAGGGCTTTTATTTGTGTAGGAAAAAAAATCCAATGAAAATATTGAGACTATTTAATACATAAACGAGATTACTGATAAGAAAGAAAAATCCATGAAAAAAACCTGATAGTGCAAAAATAAAAACAGTAGCTCTCCCAACCAATGTTAGAGAAAACTGGGTATTTCTAGGCCAGTAGAAGTCGCCTATGTTTCTGAACCTGCCTTCAACTCAATAAAATATGGATGAGATCAGCATCTTTTCAGCCTCACAGTAGTATAAGTATTGATTAATATAACACAACAAAAGCCAAAATCAAAACAAAAACCCGTGTCACTGTTCTCTCACCTACTAAGAACCAGGTGCTATATAAACACAAGGTGGTACTCTGGTGTTTGTAATTAATAAGCATATATTAGGTCATTTTATTAACTACTCCAAGCTTTGAATTTTCAGTACTAAATGGAAGTGTTCAGAGAGATAATTCTTTAAAAACTCAGTTTCCCATTTGTTTAAAAATCATTTTTTCCCAAAGGAGATACATTTTTCTAATGATTACATATGTACCTCAAAATTAAATTTCATCTTTCTTTTTTTTTAATATATTTGCTATTTATGCCTTTGCCTCATTCTAAAAGCTTTTGAGTGAATAATTAACTTTAAAATTCACTGATCATCCAACAACTCATGAAAATAAGTGGCCTAGAAATAGGAAGTCTATCAGGAGAATGCCAACCTAGAGTAAGAAATATTTTGTTTTTAGCAAAGCAGTTTATTCACATATAGGTAATTTAAACTTAAATATACATGGAAATGGTCTATTCAAACTCCATATACCTTCTTGTTTAAAAGAAATCTGTCCTATATATTCAAAATTATACCTATGCTTCCTCCCCTCCCACCACCACCAATGCTTTATGTCCTATCCAAGTCTGGGTAGGAAAAAGTTGACACTGTACCTCTTATGTGACACTGTGGATAAAGTAATAACACTATATTTCTTTGAAAGATATTTTCCATGTTTGTATATTTTTCAAGTAAGTGAAATTCCCTAGGTATTAATTGAAAAGTATTCGCCAGTGAATACTACCTAATTTACCCTTATTTTAAATGGCTCAGAGACTCTATATCCCCAATTTTATCTTCAGGTCTTCTTTATGTTAGACAATCAAATATTTCTACCTTATATATTTTTAGCTCCCTGGTTTTTGTTTGCTTTCTCCACTTATTATAGAAGTGGAAATTTATTAATCACTGTGAATTAAATAGAATGCTATTTTATTTGTAAGAGAGGAGGATGTGGTTTTAGAGTGGAAGGTGCTTAGAGTCATGGACTTGTTTAAAATCTGAGCTCCTAGTTAGAGCAAGTTTATGTTCAACTAAACACTTACGATGTTCTAGAAACCTACATACACCTACAGAATACATTTTCAGAAGCATATACTTCTACTCTAGGCTTACAAAAAAAATTTAATCTAGGTTTATCTAATTCTGATGCAATACCAGACAATTTCCAGGGCAAAGGGGAAAATGCATAATTTTAAGTTTCTTGACTTGTATAAGCAGAGTGAGAAATCTTTTGTTCAAGCAACTGCAATATACACATGTACATGAAAAGAAAAGAAAAGGGGCCGAAACCGGTTTGGCTCAGTGGATAGAGCATAGGTCTGCGGACTGAAAGGTCCCAGGTTCGATTGGGCATGTACCTTGGTTGCTGGCACATCCCCAGTAGGGGGGTATGCAAGAGGCAGCTGATCAATGATTCTCTCTCATTGATGTTTCTAAATCTCCCTCTCTCTTCCTCTCTGTAAAAAATCAATAAAATATATTTAAAAAGAAGAGAAAAGGGGAAGGGACAAGGGAGGGGAAGTGGAGGAAGACTGGGAAGGAGAGTAGGAGGAAGAAGGGTAGGGAGAGGGGGAGGGAAGGGAGGGAAAGTAGAGGGGGTGGGGAAAGAGAAGAGGAAGGGGAAGGAGTTATGCATGTCCTTTATAAAATTAAAGCATGATCTCTACCTGGACTATGTAATAAATCAGCAGCATTTAATATTCCATCAGTTTCCAATTCCCTTATTTAACTATCAATTGTCCCAGAAATTTTGACAATACGTGTAAGAAATTTTAGACAAAAACCAATTTAACCTTTATTATGTTAACTCTTACTATATATAAAAAGAAATCTTTCATTTATAGAGCAATTTGTTAATGGTTCAATTATCTCCTTTAGTTCTTTAAACCTCCTAATTTTAAGGGAACACAGAACCATGATCATTTTCTAGATAAAAATGTGTAAATAGATATGATGAAGATCAATAATAATTCAAAACAACTGCTAAAGATTAAGATTGATGTAGTAAATAATTTAAACTTCTAAAGAGTGGATAACTAAAATTGACGTCAATTGAGGAAATAATCACTTAGAACTATAAAACTACTGAGTAAACAAGAAAGTGGAAAGAAAAGTGAAAAGAAATTCATTGGAATTTGGAAATTCTTAAAAATTCAGAACATAATCTGAAGACAAAAGGACCAAAGTTGGCTTTAATGCACTTTTATTTTCAATTGTATTGAATTTAGGGAAGGAAATAAAAACTTTCCTCCATTTGAAAGGTTTTCTGGTTGACTGATCTATAACAAATGCCGGGAGTTAAGATAAAAATAAAAGAAATCTATAGCTTAAAGTTTGTTTAAATTTACTGCCCAAAAATTATAATTAGGAGATCATGGGTTTTTGTAAATGATTGTTTTTACAGTATAGGTTGTGAAAATCATTTCTAAGTTATTTTTTTTCACAAATAATAATAAAAAATATATTATTTAAAAGTTGTATTCCTATTATACATATTTTAAATTATATGCAAATATGTATATGTATAGAATTTAAGGCTTGTTGCTCATTTTATAGTCACTTGTACTAATTTCAAAGAATCAGGTAATGTCAAATGACTTTAATTGAGAGTTCAAAAAGGCCTACACAATAATTAATTACAATTCTGTCTACAAGTGGAAAAAGATTCAAGTCAGAGATGACTAGAATGGACTATCATGATAGTCCCCAATCACATACCTTACTGGTAAATGGCTTTTATATTACAAATAAAAAACTGTTGAGCACTTGTACAAAGATACACACACACACACACACACACACACACACACAACTGGAATACACACTTAGCACTGTCTTGGCATTGCAGACCCACATTTGGCCATCCTCCTCCTGGGAGATTTGTGACCAGTTGTCACATTCATTCAGCAAGAACACACTTCACCAACACAATCTCTTTGCTGCCTTTCTTCCATTTCTCTAACCCATTACTCTGTTCTAATTATAACCACTGTGGTCTGTCCTGGCTCCAAGGGAGACTTGGGAAATTCCGAATGAAACATTTAGTCACTGTCATATGACTCATGAAATGTACCTCTATCATGCTCTAAGGTTTGATCCACACCCATCACTTCCCACAAGTCCCTACTGCAAAAGGGCACTGATGGCCATTTGCAGGAAAAGGGAAAGAGAAAGGAAA